TTTTTTTTTGCTGAAAATTCACGTGCCCCTACTTGAGAATCCGGCTCACTTAAGGGTTCATTTTGAAATCTTTGCATTGCATAGAAAAAAACTTTGCATTTGTAATCTTTGTATGTTAAACCTGGAGTAAGCGAAAACATGTGGTTCCATGGCAGTCCTGTCGACCGCAGTGGTGAAATGTAACAAACTTTTCTGTCCTCACTGCATTAGCTAATACTTTTCTTTCTTTCTTATTGAACCTTTTTCAGGTTTGTCGTTCGAACAACGCAAGGTTTTCGAAGGAAAAAATCTCATTAGGTAAATTATAACGTCAACACTTCAATTTTGATGCTTTGTTTAGCCTTCGTTCACTGCCTCGTATTTTTGCATCACAGCACAGCCAGCAACCTTCCCAAGTTTGCTATGACCTAAAATGCGCTGCACTGTGGACACCGTTCTCAAATTGTGGAGTTTATTTTTTTATCTGCATCTTGAGAGGCAAAAGTGCCCATAGCATCTTCGCCAGAAGTGCTTGTAGTACCAAAAAAACTGGATAGTTTACTATACAGGAAAAAAAACTAAACTATATAATTTATCTACTGGCAATTACTATTTTTCTTTCTTTTAAAATCACCACTCGTAAAAACTACCAGGAGTTGAGCGTCTAAGATTACAGAAGCCGCAGATGCTGGGTGGGTTGTACAAGAGGACAAACGACAGGTACCACTAAACGGCAAGCTCACTGCTCACACTTCACACCCTCCCAGAATTTCCCACAGCGCTTCACAGTACAAACTTCCAGTGCCACACTTTTTCGGTCAATTTCAAAAGATACCGACCTTTAAATGCTTCTTTATCTGTCCAGGAATTTCAAAGTGATCGACAATCAACGACGCCTCATGGAGCTATCATATCAAATTGAGCCATCCAAAAGAAAACAGCGTACGTAGCAGCAGTCAGGTCACAGTTACTGTTCAGTTGGAAAACAGCATCCACTATGCTACAATTGTATCCCTACGAGGGTTGTGGTATTTTTAAAAGTGGTACCACACCCAGCAATGCTGTGCAAACATCGAATACGCTCCGGGGGATCAGAAATTTCCGATTTTTTTTTATCCTAATATACATCCTTATAAAACTGCGAAACTACTCGCCCGCGATGCGTTTTTGCCAAAACGGCGATTCTCCTATTGGTAACAGAATGCTTATAGATAACCCTCATGTGTACCTCGCCACTCAGTGATCTCATCATGTTTTTCCCATTTCAAGTGCATATCTGATTCGTTATATGCTGTAAATAAAATGTCTTTCGCTTTCATAATGAGGCTATCCGTTTGGGGAAAAGGACAAGGACAACAGCCAACTACAAAGGCTGTTTTTAAAAAAAAAACATTTGAAAATAGAAAGGCTGTGAGAACATCCAAATACAAATTTCTTAAAAGGCTTCGAATTAATCGCCAATATAAAGTTAGGCCATCAACTCGCTGAGATAGGGGTGTAGAGTTTTTAAAAGAAAAATTTATTGCGGGAAATAAAACTTAACAATGAGTGATTTGCACACAACGAGATTACCGGGGATGAGAATCGTATGGAAGAGGAGCGAAGCAATAGCCGGAA